GGCGAGAGCTACTTCGACCCTCAGAGTCGTGGTTAACGCTCCTTGTGCCGTCAGAGCTTGGCAGGATGTCTCCCGATGACCAGGATTGGGGCGAATATCAGCCTGATGACGAATCTTCCGACGAAGGAATTGCTCATCCGACGGAGGCCTCTTCAGCGGGATCTGCGGAGCCTGCTCGCCAGTCGAAGTGCAAGACAGGTTCTTCCAAATCCCATAATGCAGCTGCACCCCTCCCTAGGCCACAAGGCCAACCAAAACTTCGCACAGCTTCCGATGTGCTGCATCGTTTACGGTGGGACCCGGGTATGAGTAGCGATGACTTTGCCATCGGCTACACTGATCGTCACCTCGCTGAGCCGCAAGAGAAAGCTGTTGGGGCGTGGAAGCTGGAACAAACTCACGAGGAGTTTATCCCTCAACACCGAATTCTCTACTTCAGGCGGAAGAGCGATGGGATGCTGGTGTGGGAGAGGAGCTCTCGGACTGACATGGTATTTCGAACTGGACTGCAACCGTCTTCGGCACAGAAATAACAATACTGTACTATACGTTCAGTGCCCTTCAAGCGGACTCTTTCCCTCCGTTTCTCACCATCGTTTCATGTGTGGTCATGGGTGATACAGAGACAACAGTGCTCAGGTCGTCCTGAGCAACCACATAGAGGTAAATTTACCTCCACAATCTTGGTCATGGCATTCATTTGCTAGACACTCCTATGAAACCCTTTTTATGCCGCACACACCAGATTCAGCTAAATTCAGATATCGATGGCTAGGATAGCTAATCTGACTTTATCAGATCGGCCCAGATTGATGCACATGTACAGCGTTCCGCGGCCGTGTCTGGATCGAGTTACGGCTTGACCTACACGTAAAGAGCCTTTACTTCCGGCAGTGGTGTTACAGACGCCCAGAGGATAGAAAAGCTCTAATCGACAGCGAAATAGTTATAATAAAGTGAAGACTAGCGTATCCTCGTAGGAGAAAGTAACAAAACCGACTTGGACGGCCCGTCGTAAGTAATTTCATGTAATCATAGCGCCGCCGCAGAATGTTGGCATGACCCAGCAGTTGGACGATTGCTCATAGCATATGCTGTGGCCATTGCGATATGTTGGCGATAAGACATGCGTGACCTAGCTCCTGTGATTAACTGCAACGCCTCTCATGATCCGTATTCCCCTAGACCCCAACATCTGTATGTTGTCCGTGACGCCGTTGCAAGGAGAGAAAACAAGCGCTTAGTATAGGGTCACAAAGACCGCCGATATAGCACTCTTGTCGTACTTCACGTACTTGCCCTTGCCCTTGTCAACCTCGTGATAGCGGTCCCAGAAACGGTTATATAACGGTTCAAGCATTTGCTGGATATCGCGCGCGAACATCTGACGAACCTCCCGTTCCATGTTGTAGGACTTGTGTTTTGCAACCATTTCGTCAAATGATGCATTAAATGATTGAAACTTGTTCTTGATGTTGTCCTTGTCCTTGCTGCTCAAGCTTTTGACGATGGAACTCGAATCAGGTTGGCCCGAGGTAGGTCGTTGTTTGTTCGTATGTATAACATCGAACAGATGACTGGATACCTCCTTGCAGTCCATGGTATACAGACTTTTGGACTTCTTTCGCCACTGGTCGAGCAATGCCAGACGCTGCTCGAGCAACGGAGCAAGATCAGAATCGCGTATCATCCGCTCCACGATAACAACGTTATTTGCCAAGAAAACACCCAACACTCCCCGACCACCTCGGAGCACAGCTTGAGCCTTTTGATTGAGAGATGAAAGTAACGTCTCAATGGTATCTGTGCAATAATGTGAGAAGATTTCCTTGCCATCAGCACCAATGTCGAATGATGCCAGGCTTGGGATGACATCTGCTGAGCGGCCATTCACAGCGGCGACAGACTTCCAGCCCCCGTCGCCAATAGAGACCATGATACTCGAAATGGGGCGCAGGAATTCCACCATGGCTTGTAAACGTTGCATGGTTTCGGAGACGATGGAGACGGGCGCGCCATCGGCAGGAAGTACTTGCATGTTGCCGACTCTGCGCCTGGTATCCTCCAGCAGTTCGGCTAGTGAAGATTTGGCTGTTTCTCTCACAGGACGAAGGGCCGCGGCTAGGGTCGACTTAAGCTCCCCGGTTCGCGTTTCCAATTTTTCAGAGAGGCTTGACATGATTTCGGTTATTTCGTACGCCAGGTAGCAATCTGTAGTGAGATGGGCTTTGATGTGAACGTTCAGCTCTCTAACAGCGCGTGCTAGCTCTGCTAGAGCCGCCTGACATGTGACCTGAAATATAGGCCCCCAGTCACCCCGATTGAAGAGGTTGCAAATATTTTCGTACTCTGCCAGGAAGAGGCCTTCCATGGCTTGCGCATATGTGCCGATGCCGTTGGTCCCAGCCCTATATATGGCTTCCGAGTTCTTCTTCTTTGCCGTATTGACGCTTGCAGCGGCTAAATTGACCAGTGTTGATGACAGATATTGCCCTCGGACATCGCCAAATATCTTCGCAGCTGGAGAATCTTGTGAAGTCACCTGGGGTTGTCTGCTAGCCACATGTGCCCTGATGAGAGCCAAGGGCGTGATCACGCTTTGTGCAAGTGTGGGGAACGGGACGTCTTTGGTAATGTAGTGTAGTGGCTCGATCGATCGCGGTGTCTCGGCGCGAATGAGTTTGTCGAAATGACCTTCAAGCTGTGTATTGCCGGACTTCACTAGGCGTGAAAGGTCAGCGATGGTCTGCTGGTTTGCCCGCAGGTTCGAGGTCTGCATATCGGCTAAGGCTTGGTTCAATCTTTTAACAGAGGCAAGATAGTTGACAAGCCCAGCCTTGTCAGGTCCCGCCCGTATGATCTGTTCCTCGTCATTCTTACTATCGGCTGGCTGTCGCAGTTTCTCGATGGACGATACAACTTTGTCGATGTCTTTGGAGAGCATAAAAAGTCAGTGACTCCGTTGAGCAGGGAAATTTGGACCGGCTGGACCGGTGAGCAACGTACTGTGGCCAAGAACCTGCAACTTCTTTGTCTCGCCATTGAGTGGGCCTGCAACATCGCGTACACTCTTGCCGGTGGCATCAAGTCTCCCTAGTGAGGCTTGTATCTTCCGTGTTAATTGGGTCGTCTTCTCGAGCCGGGAGCTCAGCACATCGACTTCGGCACGCGCCTCTTCATCCGCAATTTGGCGGTTATTTGTCACCGTCACAGCCATGGCTAACTGATTGAGGGCGACATCAAGGTGATGGGGACGCTAAGCGAGTTTAGGCACGTTGCTGGAAGGGACAGTTCGCGTATGTGTGTCGCTGTTGAAAATATGCACACCGTGCCATGTGGTGTAAAGAGCAGTTGTCAGAACTTGTATACTTATGATAGAACAATAGCAAGCGATGCACAACAGAGCTACGAGGGTTGAAGTGATCAAATCAAGGAGGGTAGGCGTGGTACGGGGTTGGTTGAGTGGGCCTCATGGTCTCTATCCGGGGTCAAATTTCTGGGGAATATGTATTACATAACCACTGACAAGGCTTACATGGATTTGATTTAACACCTCAAATTTGATCGACACATGCTCAACTGTTCGTCGAATTTGACTGCTCGTTCTGTTGATGCTCTTCTTAAATGATGGCCCGGGACAGTATTTCTGGCCTTCTTAAAGTTCTCTATATCTTGGTCTGGTCCAGCTCAAATCAATGCCACCAGGTCAAATAGACTTCAGCTGTCTCTCGACTTCTCGGGGGAGTTAATCTCATAATGTAAGAAATGATGTATGAGCTTTGTCACAGTCTCTACAAGGAAATCGACATCAGTATCGGTGATGGTATACGGCGGTGCCAGAATGATGTGATCTCCGTTGTAGCCATCGACTGTGCCAGCTCCCGGGTAAACCGTGATTCCGTAGGGCTCAGTGAGTGCCAGATCGGACAATCTCGCTGCGATCTGTGCGTGGCGCGGGAATGAATCTTTAGTGCGCTTATCCAAGACAAGCTCAATGCCCCAGAAGAGTCCCTTCCCACGGATGTCGCCGACGTGAGCATGACTGTCAAGGTTGCTTCTGAGCTGTCTGGATAAGCGGCTCCCCTTATCCCTCACGTTCTCCAGAAGTTATCGGACACAACGACGTGTTGAGCCTCAAGAGCCGCAGCACAGGCGCTGAGATGAGCCTTTCAAGTATGGTCATGAACGAAGATACTGTCCTAAATGTTAGCTGCATCAAGAAATCAGGCAGGTGAAAGAGAGAGATTGTACTTGCCCGCTGCCGTTTTTAAGCACATCTACCATTCGACGGCTGATCAGGAGCCCCGCAACTGGTCGGTAGCCACCACCAAGCCCTTTGCCAATGGTTTGGAGGTCAGGGGCCACTCCTTCATCTTGCCATACATGAAGGGTGCCTGTTCGACCCATGCCACACATGACTTCATCGAGAATAAGTAGCGCTCCGTACGTTTCGCACACCGCTTTCACGGCCTTGGAATATCCTGGTACTGCAGGCACACAGCCAAGTGCCTGTGGTCCTCGCATGATCAGCTTAAAGGTGCTGGCTAAGACCGGTTTGCACGATGCCTTACCGCTCCGACTACAAGCTCTACAACAAATGCACATACTGTGTGGGGACCAAGGCGTATGAATCCGTCCTCCAACTCCTTCGCGAGTCTGGCAACATCCATAGCGTCGGTCTCGTGGCTTGCCTGGCCTCTGCAGGAAAAACAAGGCGACACAACCGATGTGTTATTGCACATCATGGGCTCAAAGATCGCTCGTCGGCCGGCGTGTCCGCCAGCAGACAGCGCCCCTAGCGTAACCCCATGATAAGAGCGGCTTCTGGATATGAACCTGTATCTTGTGCCCTGTGCCGGTGTCTATTCGAGAAAAACCTGACGCGAAAGTTTCATTGCCGCCTCCATGGCTTCCGAACCTATGCCTTTAAGCAAAGACGACACCCTCTGTCGCGACGCCGGAGACATACCACTGCTTACAATGTAGCCTTTTGACATGTGGCCCTCAGTCGAGTCAACGAGAAGTTGACACAATTCCTCAGGTGTGCTGTGCGCAAAGAACCTAGTTGCGCAGTATGTGGCTATCGCGTCTTGCTGTCTCATCGCCTTTAGAACCCTGGGGTGTCCGTGCCCAAGGCATGCCACAGCGGCACCACCAGAAGAATCGAAGATCTTCCTCCCGTCTGTTGGAATGCAGTAGTGACCCTCGCAACTGGCAAGTTGCAGAAATTGATGCCGCAGGTCACGATGCAGGACAGCGAATTTGGGCACTACTTGATCGTTTATCATGTCGCCTGCCCCAACCTCAGGGGAAGAGCCTCTTTCATTGCTCAACGAGATCATAGTACTACGAAAGTCGGTAGTCGAGCTCGGGTTGAAGGGCTGTGGCACAGATTTGGTGAAGTTTGCAAACACGAGCGCCAGTCTAGTGAGCTTTGGCGCTCTGGATGTTCTTATACGTGTCGGAAGGGACCAGATTCATATCGGCGGAGTAGCATGAGGTCCAGGTCCCGACACCGAACACAGCCTTGCTTTGGCTCGGCATCAACACAGTCACGACCCTAAGGTCAATGGCAAATATACTGCCGAAGCTTACCACAAGGAGAGGCGAGAGATGTCCTGACGACACTAGTCGATACACTCACGTGGAACCCGATGCCGGGATGAATCAATTCAGACCGAACTCAACCCAAGGAGAAGACTTGCGGTCGGTGCGGTCCCGCGCTCAGGCGCGGGGTGCCTGCTGGCCCGAAAGCCAACGCGTCCCTTAGAAACCGTCCATGCGCCGCCGAGTGGAACCGTTCGGCTTTGCCCATTGGATAAATTCCACAACCACTTAACGCGCCATTACTGCTTCAGAGTCAATGAAGGCACGCGTCGCAGCCCCTCATTTTCGAATCTCGCACGCGTCGTGGCTCCTCGAACAGTCGCCTTCCAACGTCACGAACTCTTTAGACAGCCTCACTCCCTCTTTTGAGGTCGCTGCATAGAACACAACTTGTCCAGATGGATTCTTTCATGCTTCAAGATGATGCGGCTGCTGACCGTGTTCGGCAGGCGGAAGACTTTCTTGATCCACGTGTGTCCCTCCTGTCAGGTTGATCATTTGGATGATTGTTGCTGACTAGGCACGCGCAGAAAATCCTCACACCAGAAGCTACCGACCTGACATAATTTTGATGGTACAGAAGAATCAGAGGCGCTTGAACGTTAACCTCGACCACGTTCGTGAACACAATGAACAGCTCGCGGAAGGGATACTTCGTCAGCCGTTTGACTATACAATTGCTTTCGATCATGCCTTGAAAGAGATCGTCAAAACACTGCCGCAGACACGAGCGGAGGAGGTCGCAGATGCCTTATATTACTGCGCTTGGGCGGGCAGTTTTGGCCTCAACGCATGCAACCCTCGTACCTTGTCGTCACACCATCTCAACAATATGATCTCCCTTGAAGGCATTGTCACCAGATGCTCACTCATCAGACCCAAGATCGTCAAGAGCGTTCATTACAACGAGGCTAAGAATGTCTTCCATTTCAGGGAATACCAAGACCGGACCATGACCGACGGCGCTTCTACTTCCAGCGTGTACCCTCAAGAGGATGATGAGGGAAACCCTCTCATTACCGAGTATGGGTTCAGCAAATACCGGGACCACCAGACCATTTCTGTGCAGGAAATGCCCGAGCGAGCCCCTGCGAGGCAACTGCCCCGTGGAGTGGACGTTGTACTGGACGATGATCTGGTGGACAAGGTCAAGCCAGGAGACCGAGTGCAATTGGTTGGCATATACAAGACTCTTGGCAACAGGAACACAAACCACAGCAGCGCTCTCTTCAAAACGGTCATCCTCGCGAACAACGTTGTGCTGCTGTCTTCCAAATCAGGCGGCGGCATAGCCACTGCCACCATCACAGATATGGATATCCGGAATATCAACAAGATTGCCAAGAAGAAGAATCTCCTAGACTTGCTCTCGCAATCCCTGGCCCCCAGTATATATGGACATGGTCATATCAAGAAGGCCATTTTGTTGATGCTGTTGGGTGGCATGGAGAAGAATCTTCCCAATGGCACCCATCTCAGGGGTGACATTAATATTTTAATGGTCGGCGATCCATCGACTGCCAAATCTCAACTACTTCGATTCGTTTTGAACACGGCCCCCCTGGCTATTGCCACAACAGGCCGAGGCTCTTCTGGAGTTGGTCTTACTGCGGCTGTCACATCAGACAAGGAGACAGGAGAGCGCCGGCTGGAGGCTGGCGCTATGGTGATGGCTGATCGAGGCGTGGTCTGTATCGATGAGTTCGACAAGATGTCCGATATCGACAGGGTGGCTATCCACGAAGTCATGGAACAACAAACTGTTACCATAGCAAAGGCAGGCATCCACACATCACTGAATGCCAGGTGTAGCGTTATAGCCGCGGCCAACCCCATTTTTGGTCAGTATGACACGCATAAGGACCCGCACAAGAACATCGCGCTGCCGGACTCCCTTCTCTCACGTTTCGATCTCCTCTTCGTAGTTACGGACGACATTGAGGACACACGCGATAGACAGGTTTCAGAACACGTTCTTCGCATGCATCGCTACCGGCAAGCGGGCACAGAAGAAGGCGCACCGGTAAGAGAAAACACAAGTCAGTCTCTTGGAGTCGCAGTCAACAACCAGACCGAGTCTCAACGTCAAACGGATGTCTTTGAGAAGTTCGACGCCATGCTCCATGCAGGTGTCACTGTAACATCGGGACGTGGTGCGAACAAGAAGCCGGAGGTTTTGAGTATCCCCTTCATGAAAAAGTACATCCAATACGCCAAAACACGAATTCGTCCTTTACTCACGCAAGAGGCGAACGACCGTATCGCAGACATATACGTCGGCCTCCGGAATGACGATCTAGAAGGTAACCAGCGCCGTACAAGTCCATTGACGGTGCGAACTTTGGAAACGCTTGTTCGTCTTTCCACCGCGCATGCAAAGTCACGCTTGTCAAATCGTATTGACGAGCGCGACGTGGCTGCGGCCGAGTCCATTTTGCGGTTCGCACTGTTCAAGGAGGTTGTTGAGGACGAGTCAAGAAAGAAGCGTAGAAAGACGCAAAACGCTCAGATGATGTCCTCGAGCGAAAGTTCTTCCTCGGAAGATGACGATGAAGACGCATACAGGGGCGCTGCAGCACGCACATCTGTTACCAGATCTGGCCCTTCAACCCGTGGTGTTGCACGGCCTCGGAAAACCACGACTGGTCCTAGTCAGATCAATGGCACTGCAGATGCGGATGCAGATCTTGGCGACGGGGCTCGTGGCTCGACATCTGATGCGCAGGGTGCAGAACATGATCAAGAACAGGGTTTGAACCGATTGCGCCAGTCAGCAGGAGCATCACACAGTCGTGCAACGCGCACCCAAACATCATATGCCTCGTCGGTATCAGCATCACACCTGCCATCAACATCGCAACAGGAGCCCGAGGAAGACGAGCTTGCAACTGGAGCTGCAGCTCTAGCTATCGCAGATGAGCCCATTACTGATCAGCGCTTCAACACATTCAGAACAACACTCGGGCAGCTTCTCAACTCGGCTCTGTTCGAGGATGACTCGGCAGGCTTGGACGCCATTATCCTCGCTGTGAACGCAAAACTGCACGCGAGGAGTGGAGGTGCCTTTGACAAAGAAGAGGCTGTTAAGGCGCTGCGTAAGATGGATGACCTCAACCAGATCATGTACGTGACTCTGTTCTCTCATCTCTCTGTGGCTCCTCAAGGCTAACAATAAGACAGGTACACATCAGGGGACCTTGTATACAAAATCTAATGTGTCACATGGTGTTGTATCATCCCAAATAGAATGTTCGGCTGTGGGGTAATGTTGGCCAGGCAGCTGCGGTTGATTTACGATGGGTAAAAGGCTGATGCCGTGCTTGATCTACATGATCAAAAGACTCGAGCATGGTTTTGGCAAGCTAAGGGCTGCGTAGCTTTCAATAACATAATGATGTATGATTTCTCCACCTGTTTTCGTCGGATGTCTGACAATGGTACTCAATCATTGCCCACGTCTCCCAGCGCGGTTTTTCCCTTGAAGTCTCTCTGCGCCCCTCCTTCCTCTCTCGTTGAACACACCGACCCGCACTCACCCACCTCATCAGTTGTGGGTTCTCGTTGGTTCACTCTGGTACACGACGCCGATATTCCTCGAGTCTTTGATTAACTCGGATGCCATTCCAAGTCTCGTTACCGTGCTCGTCTTTGCCGAGGATGGGCATGCCCACTTGCTCGATTGCAAAGCTCGCTGACACGCTGCCCCATGTAGCAGCCTCCTCTACACTCTTGCCTCGGGCGAGGGCCGCCGCAAGCCCACCTAAAAAGCTATTGCCTCCTCCAGTAGGATCAACGACCAAGGATGCATCTTGATGATAGGCAGGTACCCAGCGCTCGACGCCAGGATCAACCTCAATTTCTTCACGTGCGATGGTGCCCTCTTCGTCCTGTAACAAGCCTGCGAAGAGTGCCTCCATGTCAGTGTCGGGTCGGAGGCCGCCGCGAGTGTAATCTTTCTTCCGACGCTTGACACCATCGCGAGGTGCATGAGGCTGACGCTTCCTTCCACCATTTCTAGCGATGTAGCAGCCTTTCTCGCCGGCACGAACCACGAGGGTAAACGACTGTAAGGGCATACTCGCTAAGAGCTGTTCACAGGAACGTTCCACGGCCGCAGTGGATATCTCGCCCGTGTTCAGATCCAAGCCATGATCACCCATGAAGCCTGCAAGCTCTGCATGGTTGGGACTGCAAACATCAACGAGTGGCAGAGTGTTCGTGCAGTTGAGGAGCTCAGCGGGGGTGCACAAGTCGGGGACTGGCTCCCAGACGAAAATTGGTTTCACGTATGAGTCTTCTGGTGATAAGGCCTTCCTGGAAGTCGTGATATCTGCAACCAGCTCTCTGCATCTCGTTGGCGAACAAATAAGGTGAAACGAGCGAGAAAAAAGCAGCGTTGGCGTTAGGTCTTCGGCCGTGAGGCGTTTCTTTGGGGTGGTGTACTTGAACGCGCGCTTCGTTGTGTTTCCGGTGTTTTCGTAACCGTTCCAGCCTCGCGTAGTAAGGCGTTCAGTTGATTTGCGCATCAGAGCAGACGTGTTCCAAGTTTCAATCAGAGTTATAAGGTCGGCGGGGAAATCAGTTCCTTGATCGACTACCCAGCCAACGGAAGAGGATAGAGGAGGGGGAGAGAAAAGACGTGCTCCTATAGCGGAATACGTGCCCGCACCGCCTAGTATATCTTTGACCGGTGGCGTGGGTTCCTCGAACTCAATATCATCTTCACGGGTTAGCATAATCGAACCGTTGAGCAGTAAGCCTTGAGTCGGTGGGGTGTGTCGCAGAAACCTCACCTATGATGACCATGCCCAGCGTAACGACATCCAAAGGTGTTAAAGCCGCAAATTCTGCCTCTGTGAGAACCTCATCCTTCACCGACAAGAATTCCATGGCGGCCTTTGTAGACTTGCTGACTGCACGGGTAACCTCGAAGACCGTCTTTATCACACCGCGACGAGCTTCAGCGTTTCAGTCACAGGAGATACGGAAACTCGACTTCGTAAATACACTTCACGAAAAGAT